TTTAAAAAAATTTGATAACAAGTTTGATTCCTTTGGGGATTCAGAAAAACTATAATAGAAGAATCAGCATAAAAATAGAATTGTATTGAAATCTAAAAATTGATTTTGAAAAGACTTAATTTGCATACAGGCATATACACATCCATTTCTTAAGAAACACGGTTTTTATTTATCTTTTCAACATGTGCTGAAAAATATGTAGCTGTAGGGTAATGCTTTCTCTTTTCAGCAGATGCCAAGTTGCTAAGTGAAGTAAAGTGGACTTCTGTTCCTCTGGATGCAGAAGGATGGCGTTGTGTGACCTCTGGAAGTCCCTTTGGTTAAGCTCAATGGTTTAATGATTCTTTGGCTCAGGACCAAACTCACATAATGTTCAGACCAAAAGCCTCTAGCATCAGTTTTAAATTTAGCCTAGGCTGTGGAGTCATTATCATCCTTTCTTTCAATTCTTAAAATACAGACAATCTTTCCACCTGAGCTACAATTTAGAGGCTCATGAAGCCAATGGTAATACAGTTAAGTATTAAAAAAGTAAGACCACAAAATTATTGCAATGTATTAAATAATGTATGCATTGAGAAATTATCTTTAATAACTTCTAAACTTTTAAAATAAGTTTTGTAGAATTTATCTTTTTTCTTTGATAGTTCTATAGTCTAGACTTTGGTGCTGGAAAAAACTGAGTTTTTGTGATAATAAATATGGTAATATCACTTTGTGATAATAATTATGGTAATATCTAACATTTTTAGGGAACATATTATGGGTCAGGCACTAGGGTAAGTGTTTCACATAACTTATTTCTCATAATGACTATGAGGTGGGCACTTTTATTATCCCCATTTTATGTAAGAGAAAAAGAAGTCTTAGAACTTCACATATAACTCTTATACTTTTTTTCTTTTGTCTCTGGTTAGAATATTCTTTCCTTATGACTTCTGGCTAAGGAACAGTCCAATAACAGAGCAATTAAGATATTAGATTTTGGAGCCAAATTGTCTGGATTGACATTGTGTTTTAGCTGCTCACTAGTTGGAAAAGTTATGTGAACTCTTTGTGCATAAATTTTCTTATCCATAAAATGGGGATAAGGATAATAATTTCACTTTTAAGATGTTAAGTATTTTAACTGAGAGAACAGTTATAAAGGAGCAAGAACCTAAGGTGGTGGACTGTATCAAAAAAGTAGCAGATCATGAATGCAAACAGCTTTTGGGATTGACTACAAGCAGTTTGAATTGGACTTGGAAATTTATAGATACTAAACTGTGAGCCATTGGTACTGGGTCTGTGTGAGTTGGTGTGGACTGAGTGAGAAAGCATAGCACACTTGGAGTGTATCTTACCTCTTATAATGCACCACTGTCCCTCTATTCCAGGACACAGTTGCCTATTTGCTTTCTCTGGGTTAAATCATAGACTCCTTGTTCCTCCTTCAAGCTGATGCTTACAGAAGGTACTCAGAAGTAGATGTGAGGTTTAAAGCATAACCAAACATCAACAATTTGTAGGACAGTATACTGGAGTCCCGAATATGGAAAGATGAAGTGACTCTTCACTAGTGAGTTCATAGTTCTGTGTTGGTGCAGGTGGCACCTTAATGACTGAGTTACCACACTTCATTCTCAGCATTCTTTCCCAAGGTTCTTCTCTTTCCCTGATTTGGCAATGAAGGCCCTTAGCTTAGTCCTTTGGTTATTTTTTTGAAAGTGAAAGGTACCGTTGTGTTCTGTCTTTAGAAATTTGGGGTGGGGTGGGGGTGGAGTTGGGGGTGGAGGGTGGAGAGGACAAAGAGAACACCACCTGTAGAGAAAAAAGATAGCATTCACAGATTTTAGAATGTTGCCTAAGAATGATGTGGAGATTTTTTTTTTTCTCTTGTGCTTAGTGGGAATTTTGAGCATCAAAGGTGGCTGCTTAAATGTAGAATGTTGAGCAGGGCTTCTCAGCCTCTGTACAACTGCCATTTCTGGGAAGATTCTTTGTTGTGGGGGAGGGGGGACTGTCCTGTGCATTGTAGAATGTTTAACAGCATCTCTGGCCTCTACACACTAGATGCCAGTAACATCGTCAATGGTTGTAGTCAACCAAAAAGTCTCCATACACCAAATGTCTTCAGGGAGGGCAAAATTGATCCTGCTGCTGAGAATCCTTGGCATGGAGGGAGCAGCAGTCCTTGATGATGTGCTCTGGGGTTTTGGTGGCTCAGTATGAAATGAGCTGGTCTCCTTAGTCTGAATTTGAAAATTCATTCAAAAAGCCCATCTATTCATCAGTATTCATTTAGATATTCTGCTTTTTACACATATATATTGGTTTCAGTCTGAGTATTTGCATGTGCAAGTTGTGTGTATCTCACATTGTCAGGCACCCCAACTGCAGCTGTCCTATTACCCCATGGAGCTTTGGGTTAAATGAGGAAGTATGCCTGGTGGTACCTAGGAAGCCAAAGGGCAAGGTACACACAGGTGTGTCATGCATTGAACTTGGGAATTCCATTATGGATACATTCTTCAGTGGTAGGCACCAAGTGGAAGTGCTAAATCTGCCCACTTCTGGTGAACGTGGACTATGGTGTTGACTGTAGTATGAATATAGTTTGGCTCCTCTGAAAACTCATCTTGAAATTTAGTCCCCATTGTGAGGTATTACTGAAGGTGGAAACTTAATCTGACTGCTTTAGTCAGCTTTTTGTCACTGTGACTCAAATACTTGAAAAGGACAACTTAGAGAAGAAAAGTTTATCTTGGCTCATGGTTCCAGAGGTTCATCATCAGTCAAATCCATAGCTCTGGGCCTTAGTTGAGAGAGAGTATCATGGCAGAAGGGTGTGGCAGAGGAAAGCAGTTCAGGGACATGACAGGAAGGAGAGAGTCCACTAACTCTCTACACTCACCAGGGGTAAAATATAAACTCCAAAGTCATGTCACAGTTACTACTTCCTTCAGTCAACCCTACCTGCCTACAGTTACCATCCCGTTAATCCATATCAGTGGAGTAATCCACTGATTAGGTTTTCTCTCTCATAATCTAGTCATTTCACCTCTAAACATTCTTGCATGTCTCATGTATGAGCTTTTGAGGGTCACCTACTACCCAAACTATAACACTATGATGTTATATAAGAAGTGTGGCTTTGGAGAGGTGATTAAGATGAGACAAGGTCATCAGAGCAGAGACCACATGATTGAATACTGGTGAATTTATAAAAAAGAGAGAGATGAAGATTCACATGTGTGCTCTGCATCTTTTGCCATATGATGCCCTCTTCGGCTGCCTTGGGACTCTGCCAGCAGTACTGCCATCACCAAATGTAGCCTCTTTACCTTGGAACAGAACCATGAGCCAAATAAACCTCTTTTCTTGATAACTAATCCAGTCTGTTATTAGCAGTAGAAAATGGACTAATACTGTGTCTTTACAGGGAAAATAAGGCAATGGTTAAAGACCCTTACCTTGGCCCTTAAAGCATCTGGGGCAGCCTCTCTTCTTTGAACAGTCAGAGAACCTGTCACCCTGCCCCCTCACCCCCTGGTCTTGGAGTAAGAACTGGGGTGCTGCAGTTCTCTCTGACAATGGCTGTGATACAGTGGTCTAGGTAGGTGGTATGGCTAGGGAGTAGGGGTTGCTGACTAGACCTGAACCTCTGGGTGAGCTTGGGGTCCAGTACTGGCAGGCACTCAGCTGTGGAGGATCAGGTCAGTGAGGGGGATTGCTGTCTGAATTGCATCTGGGGGAATGGGGTAACAGCTAGATGTGGAGAGTTCTGATAGATAAGTACTGAACTATTCTGGGCAAACCATGAGCTAAAAAAAAAAAAAAACACCATACAATCCATTTTATTCTGATCTGGGACTGAGGTGACTGTGGCAGTATTATTACAAGGTTAGAGCCAGGAAAAGCAGGGCTTAAGCATAAGCCAGGCAAGGTGGAGGAGTCGGAAACTTCTGGAAGGATTTAATGAATAGGGAGATAAGCCCAAGGTGCCTCCTTGCTGGGTGCTGTTTGCCTGACTGTGGTGTGATGATGGGTCTGTAGATTGAGAGATGGGCCAAGCAGATTGCACTAGGAACAAGAGCTGGAGGAGACTGCTGTGACTTTCTGATGGCAACACTAAGGGACAAGCCACTTTATATTCATTCATTCAACAAATATTTGGGTATCTCCTATATTTGGAGCAAAGAGCTAGGGACCATTGAGGGTACAAAGAGGGAAAGACATAGATGGAGCAGCTAGTGGTCTGAAATAGAAGGTGTAGCTTGCACACTAACCATGACCCTGGGAGACAAAAAGGTTTAGGAGTGTCTGGAGGAGGGAGAAGAATGAAAGAAACACATGAGGATGGCAGTGACTCGCAATAGGATTAGTAAATATTTAGAGTACTCATTGCCTATGAAATGCCCAGGAAGAAGACAGTGGGCGCGGCAGCTAGGCTAAGCTTACCAAAGCTCGGGTCTCACTTTAGATTTATGTATTAAAATAGAGGGAGGGTTGTGATTGTGGGCCTGATTGCTCCTTGGTTTGGTTGTTGGCTGTGACCCTCTGGAGGAAAGTCTAGGCTCCCAACAGCTCCTGATGGCTCACTGTCCTTCTTTCTCAAATGTTAGGTTCTTTCCAGTAGGTACTATCACGATGGGCAACCCATCCTAAAGTGTGCAGCTTTGGGACAGGCTGGGGTTTTTTTGCAGAGATCAGCTTGGATGTATTTGAGGATTCTGTCCCAGCCTACACCAGTGACACATGCTTTCCACATGAACTGCCGAAGAATTGGATTAAACCCTTTCTCTTGGCCCTCATTCTTAATAGCATTTGTCTAGGCTCCCCCTGCAATCGCTCTACAAAATAACAAAAATATTGACAAAAATAATGGAAAAGATGGCAATTACCCCGCTTCTAACCCCTCCCTGCCTTAGGTTGTCACCGTAGCAGATAAAACCTATTTTATGGGACACCAACCCACTGCTACAATTCCTAAAGTAAAGTTTATTTGCACAGAAAAATAAAGGCAACTTTTTATTTGTCACCCTGCTGAGAAGAAATATGATTCCTGTCCTCTCACTTCATATTAGCCTTCCTCTCCCTGCATGTTTTCATCCCGTGGTGTCTGATCATTTCACAGAAAGGAGGATTTCTGCTTTTGACCTTACCTCTTGCTCTTGTAACATTCCAATTTTCAAACGGTCAGTCACCATTTGCCATTTCTTTTGGGGTGGGGGTGGAAACATGTTCCGAAGCTCAAGCCTACAAGCCTCTGGCCCATTTTTTAAAAGCTTGCTGGGTAGCTGGTTTCCCGTGTGACAGCGGCTCCTTGGGAAAGCTATTCTTTCATGCAGCGGCAGCGCCGGCATTGATCAGTGGGAAAGTTCAAGGCGGCAACTCATCAAGCGCGGCTTCAATACCAGATTCCAGACAAGGTCTGCAATAAATAAGAGCAGTAACAAAGAATCATATTTCCTTCTTGTACAGAAAATCAGCAATGACATAGTTCTAAATTTCAGGGTTCAGCCGTAGTGTCCTCTCCTTGCACTGCAAGTTGAAAACAGGGTGGCTTTCTCTGAGAAGTTACATCAACATGCATTTTAGCTCTCCTTTCCTTAGACACAGAGTCAAAATACATTTTTGAATATGTAGGTTGACCAGGGATTTTTTTGGCTTGTGCACTGACGATCATTTGGGTTGTTCAAATAGAACCTATATTGTTAAAAACCTGTGTTTAGAACTTATTTTCTCACATGTGTTTTAATTGGCTTGTTCTCTTCTTTCCTTTGAACTTCCCTCCCCCCAATAATAATGTTGAGATTTTCATGTAAATATACAAAAAGAACACTCTTGCTTTAAGTAGATAGGGGAAATCTTTTTCTTCAAATGGCAGTGTGATAAAAAAATATACACCCTATGAGTCCCTCATGGATTATTGCTATTGATTTCTTTCCTTGAAACGTGGAAATGTTACCAGATGGAGTGTTAGGAGTAGGTGGGTGCAAATGCAGTTTATTGCTTGTTGACTAAAAATCAGTGAAAACCTTCACCATTTGTGTGCTTGGGTTGCATGTAAAGATGAATTTTAATCCCAAACCTGTTCTTATATAAAGCTTTGCACTATGCAATGAATGATGTTCTTAGAGTAAATTTATATTTGAAGGAAATAAGCTTTATGACAGAGTTGAAACACATAAAGACTTCAAGAATTGTTCTTGCCCACTTATTGAAACATGGGTGTTTTAAGTTAAATGCATTAATGGAATTTACTTATGACAATCAAATTTTCATTGTGTTTGATTTCATCTGCACCCCCGCCACTGGCTGCTCCTTTGCACTTCCTCTGGTGTCCCTTTCAGGGAAGTGTTAATCAAAATACTGCAGATTTTAGGAAGCCAGGTGCCTGGGCCACTGTACCCGACCCCCCAGGGATGCACCCATTAGGGGGAAAAAAAGGGGGGCTGACCTTCTGTCACTTTCATTCTCCTCCCTTTTAATGATTCCTTCTCTATCCTTTTGAGAAGATCTTTCCAGCCCTTTGACCCCTGTTAGAAGAGGAAGGCTTAAACAGCTGAAAGTACCCTCAATGTCGGGCTTGCAGAGCAAAGCTCCAGAGGCCTTTTAGGAAATGCCAAAAGACAGGAGCCTCAATTTTCAGTGCATTTAGAAGGCAGATCCTGGCCCCACACCATTCCCCTCCTCATTTATGTTATAGAAGAAACAGGTTTGTGTGGAGGAGTCCCACTGCTCCCTCAGTCTCTTGTCAGTGCCATTAGAATCATCACGTCCTTTGGCCAAGAGCGGCTGACTTTTAACGACAGTCCTCCAACTGTGTGAGAGCTGTTGTGCTTTTTGAAAAGGAGCGAGGGGAATGTGCATCTGAGGTGAGCGCCTAGGCTGCTACATGTGGGCTGCAGACCCTGCTTGAGTTTTCATGGGGGAAGTAACCTTGCTGGTAGGTTGCTCCCTGCCTTAAAATGGCCAGTCACCAAGCAGAGGCTTTCACGCAGAGGTGCATTCACGTTGCCGACATTCATGACATAGAGTAAGAGCATCTAAAGAGCTTGACAATGTTTTTACCTGACCACAAAAGTGATCACCCATGTCTCCAGTGCCCCAGGAGCTCTCTGAAGTGACTTATTAGCTCTCTGAACTGGGTAAGTTGTTTCATCTTTCAGAGCCTGAATGTTTGCATTTGTAAATTCGGGATTGTTAGTCACCCCTCCCAGGGTAGCCATCAGAGTTAAATGGGACCCTGTAGAGTTTGGGGACCATGGCTTTCCACTTTTTTGCCCCTCTCTCATCTCACCCCTAACCTTTCCTTTCTGAGGTACTGATAAGGAACAGCAAAACTGGGTGAATTTTAGGCCAGAGGAAGGGGTGATTTCTCTTCTTGCAAGAGAAACTGTAGATATCTTTTATCCCTGTTACAGAACAGAAGCCAATCCCAGTGGCATCAATTACAGTAGCATTGGGAGTGGCTAAAAGGATTAGGGGTTGACTTGACATTAGAAGGTATTTGCTGCCATCTCCACCATAGGAAAGGGAAGAATAAGAGCATGGTTTAAAGGCTCATGTTCTCACTTAGATTAACCAAGTAACCCCTCCCCTATTCTGATGTTTATCTTCAACATGCACATACATGCCCGTGACTGTGTTTTCCACAGTCAAGACATATTTAGAAGTAAGAGTATCTAAGAAGCTTAAAAATATTTTTCACCTCACTACAAAAATGATGCATGTTCATTGTACAGACTTTGAAAATAAAGAAAATTATAAAGATCTTAACTCCTTCCTTCACCTAGCACCTGGAGGTAACCATTATATACGTTTTGTGACTCAAGTGTATGCACATACACTTTGACCTATTATCTCATGTTTTCATTTAATAGTATATTGTGAAAGTTTCTCTTTATCATTAATCTTATTGATGAATAACAAACTGCTCTGAAACCCAATAGCATAAAGCACCAGAATCATATCATCATCATCATCATCATCATCATCATCATCTTTTATGGCTCTGGAAGTTCACCAGGCTCAGTGATGTAGTTCTTGCTCAGGGTCTTTCACATTCTTGCAGTCAGGTGGTGGCTTAGGCCAAGTTCTCTGAAGGTTACTTACTACACGTTTGGTGTCTGGCCTTGTGTAATGATTTGGATAGGAGGTGTCCCCCAAATGATCGTGTGTGAGACAACTTAGGAATTTTCAGAAGTGAAGTGGTTGTGTTGTGAGAACTTTAACTTAATCAGTGCTTTAATCCACTAATATGAATTAACTGGGTGTCAACTGTAGGCAGGCAGGATGTGGCTGGAGGAGGCAGGACACTGGAGTAGTGCCTTAGGGCCTGTATTTTCTTTCTGGTGAATGGAGCTCCCTGCTTCCTGATTGCCATGTCTTGAGTTGCTTTCCTCCTCCAAGCCATAATATTTTGCCTTACTTTGGGCACAGAGCTATGGAGTTGGCTAACCATGGACTGAATCTATGAAATTGTGAGCCCAAATAAACTTTTCCTTTTCTGTGTTGTTCTTTTCAGGTATTTTGGTCACAATGATGCAAAAGCTGACTAGAACAGCTAGAAAGACTCAAATTGCTGCAGGCTATACCTGCTGGATTTCTTGAACATTTCTGTCTGTCTCTAATGTGGTCTTTTTCTGCATGCTGATATCAATGTAGCCATATTTCTTACATGGCATTTGAGGATCTCCAAAGTATATGTCTATAGGCCAGGCTGAAGCCAGCACACCTTTTACAAGGTGACCTAGGGTTGGAAATCACATGGCATTTCTCCACCCTGTGCTATTTATCAAGGCAGTCACAAAAGCCCATCCAAGTTCAGGGGGAGACATCCTGAGTGGTGTGTGAGTTTTCTATTGCTGCTCTAACAAATTACAAGTTCTATGAGCAACAGAGATTTATTATCTTACAGTTTTGGAGGTCAGAAGTCTGAAATAGGTTTTACTGGGTCAAAATTAAGGTTTTGGCAGGGCTGTACTTTCTCTTGAAGCTCAGTGGTGGAGTCCATTTCTTTGCCTTTTCCAGTGTGTAGAGCTGTCTGCCTGTATTCCTTGGCAGTGGTCCCTTCCGCTATCATTAAGGCCAGCAGCCTAGCATTCCCAAACCTCTCTCTGCAACTGTCTGCTCCTATCGTCCCATCTTCTGATTCCTATTGTCCCATTTTCCTACCTTCTTCTTGTGATTAAATTGAGCTTCCCTGAATAATCAAGAATAATTTTCCCATCTCAAGCTCCTTAGCTTAATCATATCAGCCAAGTTCCTCATTATGTAAGATAACATATTCACAAATTACAGGAATTAGAATGTGGATAGCTTTAGGAGGCCATCATCAGCCCGACACAGGTGTAAAACGACAAGGCTTTGAAAGAGCACTTCGGACCAGAATTGTTGCTTCAATCATTTTTTATAAAATATAATCTTCCAAAATTAAATAAGTTGAGTGGTTGCATAGCATTTTATTGTGATTGTTACTATTCACTTAGCCTTTCTGTTTTATTTATTTATTTATTTATTTTTTGATAGTACTGGGGATTGAATCCAGGGCCTTGCACATGCCAGGCAAGGGCTCTACCACTGAGTTACAACCTTTGCCCTCACTTAGCCTTTATTTATTGTTATAGTTTCATTATTTTTTTATTACTATTAATGTTTGTTGTTAATGTTTCTTTATTGTAATGTTCTTGTTAGTGTTTGCATTATAAACAACACTATAGGAGATACCACTATAAATAAATATTTGTGTAAATCTCTGATTATTTTCTAGAACAAATTAATAAGGATAAAATTATATAAAATATGAGTACATATTGATTGTCAAATTTCCAACAACATTATATAAAATTGTTTATTTTGCTATGTCCTCATCAACACTGAGTATAATCATTAAAATATTTTGCAAATTTCATTATTTTATAGCTTTATTGAGGCATAATTGGTGTACAAAACTGTACATATTTAATATGTATAATTTGATGAGTTTGGATGTATGCATACATTTGGAATACCATCACCACAATCAAGGCAAAAACATGGTTATCATCTCCAAAAGTTTCCTTGTGTCCTATTTGTATGTGTGAGATAAGAGCACTTAAAATTCTTACAATTTTTAAAATTGCCCAACACTGTATTGTTTACTACAGGCATTAATTATGCTGCACAACAGATATCTAGAACTTACTCATGTTGCATAGTTATAACTTCATACCCATTGAACAACAATTTCCCATTTCCTTCTCAACCTAACAACCACCATTCTATTTTCAACTTCTCTAAAGTTTGGCTGTTTTAGATACCTCATGTAAGTGGAACAAACAGGCAGTGTTTGCCCTTCTGTAACTGACTTATCTAACTTCACACAATATCTTCCAGGTCTACCGATGTTCTCACAAGTGGTAGAGTGGTTGTGCAAATATTTCTTCA